TGTGGATAGATGAAGTTATGTTGAACAAAATTTTATTTTTGATTGCTATGAAATTTCATATTTAAGGACTTTTCGAGGTGCCAAAAATGAATGAAAATTTTGTGTTCAATGTTTCACCTTCTATTAATAACTCTCAGATTTGTCTGTGTTAAAACAATATAAATAGCTTTATTGTACCAGTTAAACACTGCAAAATATTGAGTAACATATCTTTATTTTTCGACTGCATTGAAAATTTTTTCAATATTTCTGTACTTAACATGTTTAACAAAGTTATAAGAACAGTTGGATCTCATAAGAACAGTACTTCTATTGATAAAAAGAAGGCAAGATTTTTCATTTTTTAATTGCAATGAAAATCCTTATTTAAGGGTTTTCCGAGGTGCAAAAAACCAATATCAACTTTGTTTATCCATAAAAAATATTAAATTTTAAAACTATGAAACACAAACTCGATCTTTTTTTTTTAAATACATTTAATATCTTTAATACATTGGTGATTATAAAAACCCTTAAAAATTTTATCATTATTCTTTCCTTACAGAAAAAAAGTTGCATTTTTCTTTACCATAACATAATGTGACATATTCAGTATCTAGAAGACCACAAACACATGAAAAAAAAAAATCATTTTAAAAATCTGTCAAGCAAATGGACTCTCTAATAAACAAAAATAAAACTAATGTAATTCTTTTTTAATTACGAAATTGGACTCTCAAATACCCAGTGTTGCCTCCCCTTGCATGAATAACGGCTTTTACTCTCGTTAGCATATTGCGAATAAGGTTAGATCCCGATCTTGAATCTGATCCAATTCATGTACTTGGAGGTCACATGGAGGATCCTGTTGAACCTCGTCTACCAGACGTTCCTTACAACATTTTCGATGTAGGACCAAGCATAATGCTGCATAAAAAGGAAACAAAGGGCGATAAACAGGCCAAAAGATAACACATATTCCACGAGGATGTCGGAAATGAACATGTGTGCAATGAGCATCGGCCTTTGGAACACATGGAGGTCTGTACTTGACTCTAAACATATTATACCCCAAACCATCACCGACCATCCTCCAAACTGCACTCTTCTCACTATACTGCACTGACCTTATTGCTTACTTGGTCTTCTCTACACTTAAACTCATCCGTCTGTACCATAAAGGCTATACCTGGACTCGTCAGAAAACAAAACAGAGGCCAAATCATCTTCTGTCTAGACAGTATGATTGCGACAAAAGTGAAGGTGGGCTTCTCGGTGTGCTGCGGTGCGGTGTGTAGAGAGCCAATAGCTGGAACCCTATTGTGCAAGTTAAGTTCAGCAAATCTTGTCCTTACTGCGTGTGTGCTAACATCTGCACCCCGAGCAATACAAAATCAACTGAAGTCTGGTAGCAGTTTCTCAGGGTCTGCATGGCAATGAAGTGGTTATCAGCTGGAACTTTTGCTCTTGGATGGCCTGATCAGGGCCTCCCAGCGTAGCTTACTACCTCCTGGTTTCTCAGGACTGCCCGCCGAACCGTTGTTTTAAGCAGCCTGTGGACTCAGGCTGTGTATCTCTGGCATCGGCCGTTTACAACTAACACAGTAATCTGTGTGACTGCAACGGGATTCAAAACCATTTAACACTTCTTCTTCTGCGTTCTTCCTTATATGACTAGGTCTGGAACTAAAATGAAGAATTCGGAAGTCCTCTTCAGGTCTTCCAGGCTTCCATATAGTTTCCTTTCCAATTCAGTCGGAGAGGGCCAGATCACCTTCCTTTGCTGGGAGTAGGCCATGCATGTTTGTAGGGTATGTTCCACATTCTGTACACCCTCACATCACTCGCAGAGGGGACTAGAGCCAATTTCGAACTTACTGAATAGATGCCACACCTGCAACACCTGATCTTGTCGAGTTAGTCCATAGATCGCATCTCAGGTGTTCGTGAAGTGGATGATTTCTGAGCCAACGTTGGTTAATAATCGCTTTATTGATTGTTTTTACCTCATCTAGGCTGATCTTACAATCAAATTGCGGACTCAAGGCCCCTTCCTTTGCCAGCTAGTCTGCCCTTTCGTTTTCATAGATGCCACAGTGTCCAGGGATCCATTTCAGAACAACTTTCTTGTGAAGGGACATCAAGTCTTCAAGAACTTTGGCAAGTTTTATCAGGCTTTTGCTCCACTTTGACCTGAGTGATTGTAATACTGACGCTGCATCAGTAAGGAATACAATTTTACACTCATAAAAATGTTTGATAGAAATGAAATATTGTTTTAAGAAAAATAAAATAAAACCAGTGCGTTTTAACAGGCAAATAGAGACAAACTGATAGGAAGTTTACATTTTATTTTAATACTTTTATTCGTTAATTCTAGAAAGAATTATAGAATTTTCTTGAAAGGATTAATGCATAATAATCCTCTTTGACCTGTCATATGTCTTATTTTTTTAAACATGGCTAGAACCACTGCAAACATGAAGGCCTATTGTGCGCGTTAATTAATGTTGCTCTTGATCAGAGCATTATTCTAGCAATCTCTGAAAATTGAAGAAGGCTTGTCAGATTTGCAAGCTTTTCGCTCTTTGGGTCCAGCAATCTATCATTGCCAAATAGACGGATTCTTAATCTGGCGAACTTGTCGCACCAACAAGCAATATGATATGCTGTTTCATCATACCAGCACAGAACCTACAGAGAGATGACTCCACTACAGTGGCCCATATAAATCGCTATAATTTTCTTAAGAGAACTCCTCCTGCTCAAGTTAATTAGCAGATTAGCTCTCTTTGTACAGATCCTATCCAGAAACAACCTAAAATTAGTCTTTTTTTTAATATTCCAGTATTTCTTGGTTTTTGCATCATAAATCTCCCCGATTATTTTTTTGATTAAACACATGCTAATACTACAGATTGGTTCGGGTGTTATGGCTGTTGTTTCTGAGCTTCTTCTGGCTAATTCATCTGCCATCTTATTGCCAGCAATGCCAGACATTTGGGAAGTACCCAATCGATAGTTACCTTATTGATCCTAGATAAATTGTTAAGGTTTGTGCAGCAATTCTTAACAGCCTTAGATTTAGTTGTATAGTTGTCCTTCGCTCATATTGCCGCCTGACTGTCAGTAGAGATGAAAATCTTCCACTCTACCTACTCATTGAACAACAGCTTTGGTGCACAGCGAGATATCGATAGTATTTCAGATGGGAATAATAATAATAAGGCTTAGCGAACCCGAAGGTTCGATGCCGACACCACCAATCGCTTGTTACACACCTCCCTCCACCGTTCGCCGTCCAAACCCAGTCCCTTCAGATCGGCTTTAATGCAATCTTCCCACCTTCGCTTCGGTCTACCCCTCGGACGCTTACCATTCGGCACAGCAAATATTAGCCTTTTAGGAATTCTCTCGTTACTAAGCCCCACAACTTTACAAGCCCATTTGATTCGCCGCGATGAAATTACCTCAATTATATTACCCGGATACAGCTCACGCCATTCGGCGTTGTGTAACCGTCTGAACTCTCCGGTTAACTTATCCTTCTTCGGTCCGAATATTCTACGCAATACTTTATTTTCAAAAACCTTAAGACGCTGCTCATCCCTTAATGTAAGCGGCCAAGTTTCGCATCCATAAAGAACTGTAGGCAAGATAATTGTTTTATAGATTCTAATTTTTAAGTTTCGAGACAAGAGGCGCGAACTAAGTAGTTTTGTCACAGAAAAATAACAAGCATTAACCGCCTTCAGTCTAACCTTAATCTCTTCTTCAATTTCGTTTTTTCTAGTTATCGTAGTACCTAGATACCTAAATTTCTCTACCTGTTGAAACATATTACCATCTATATCGATATCACCAGTAGTATTGCCATTTTTGCAGCTAACCATATATTTTGTTTTATCCACGTTTATTACGAGTCCTAGTTCTTTACACCATATATTTTGTTTTATCCACGTTTATTACGAGTCCTAGTTCTTTACAGATGGGAATACAATTGCATATTTGTCAAGTGATATAAACATGCCATGTTCTGGTTTATTCTTCCTCCACATGCCTGCACCAGAGCCACAGGTCATATACAGGGTGTCCCGTAAGTAGAAAGAAATTTGTATAGGAGAGATAGCAGACCTCAAGAGATAAAATGGAGTTCATGTAAACAATGAGCCAATTTTCAGCTTTTTTAGGAGTAGGAAAGCAAAGTTTAGAATTTTTTTAAAGTATGCTATGTCTTTTGTAGTACAGGAAATGATAACTGAAGCAATATTTAATTTAAATAATTAATAACTACTTCACTATAAACTAAACAAAATTTATAAGTTCTTAAATACGAAATTTCATAGCAATAAAAACATTGAAATGTTTTCAACATGACTTAACTTATCCACATGAAAATCGGCAGGGAATTAGGGCTGTATAAATTTCACAAAATGACACAAACCAGACTCTTGTAAACAAAACAGAAGTGGAGATATAAAATAAAAACCTTGCAGAGATTTTTCTTTATTTATTCTTTATAATAGCCGACAACTTAAAAATTCTTGGAATAATAATAATGGCCTAATTTATGTAAAAAATAAAACCTCAAGACACCAATTTTAGGAAAAATGAACAGAAGAAATAATAATTAAGCTTTAAGATAACGGTTGTATTAGCATTGAATTAAGAGAAAATCCTAAGGAGCAATGAATGCTTAAGTAAACAGTATGGAAAAAAAATCCACCCATAAAATCATGTCTAAAAATTTATACTTTTTTAAATTTCAAAACAAATAAGTATTTAAGAGTTTTAAAAACACTTTAAACGAATCTGAATTGTTTTTTAAGGAAGAAAATTTGCTTGACTTATAATATATATAAATTTATATTGAACAAACAAAATATAAAAGAATTTTTCAAAATGAAATATTAAAAACTGTTACCTCATTAATTTCCTTGGTTACATTATTATTTATAGGCATTAAAAGTATCAATAAAATAAAATAGTTATATAAATTAATTAAATTATAAAAAACATACCTTTGGAAATATACTCCACAATTTCAACAAAATTTTCTTGATTAATCTGATTAGAATCATCATCTCTTATTACTGTATTCATACCATTTGAAGAGTCACTAAAAGTTTGGTCCACTGATAATTTTTTTTCACAAATTCGGTTGTCAACATTATTATTACAAACTATATCACTACTTTTCATTAATTCTGTATTTGAACTGCATAAAAGTTGTTCATTAACTTCAAAACCAAACACTAAGTCATTTACATCATTAGAGTCATTAGCATTACTATTCATTAAAATCACAGGTGGGCGCTTTGTAGGTAATTTATTATCTAAAGCTAAATTTAAGCCTTCCAGAGCAGGTGCATCACTTTTTAGTGAAGGCATATCAATTAACACAGTCTCTTCTACATTTACACAATTAGATTCAGGAATAGAAGAGCTCCTTTTAGGAACTACCACTGTATACTCTACAAACATGTCCTTACATGAATAAGCTTTGTCACACATTTCGGCAAAAAGAGGAGGATATTCATCTTTTAAGTTATGTACACTACCTCCCAAATGTTTTTTAGCTGGTAACTGAACTACAACTGTAGGTATAGCATCAGATAGAGACAACTGTTGAAAGTTTTCATCACTTACCAAAGAAGAATCCACAAATATTTTGTTTTTAGATTCATTAATAATCGGTTCATTATAGGTTCTCAATGGTGATGGCACAGATCGTGCCATATCTGCATAAGATATCTGAGGAGTTGAACCCACAGAAGCAGATACATTGTTTTTTATAGCTCTCCCCTTATTTGATGATACAGGAAAAGAATGAACACTATCCATGTCAGATGTATCACCTGATTTATCTGATGATGGAACAGAAGATATAGATTTTCTCCTTTGGAACTCTCTGGTAGATACAGTAAAACTTTCTAAATCTTGAGATTTTCCTATGTAAGAACCTAGTATTTTTTCACCTCGAAAGCCTACATTGATTTTGCTAATTTTATTTCTAATATGATTTTCACATACATTTTTTTTCTTTCTGGACTTTTTAGTTACAGGTAAGAAATCAGCATCAAACACTTCTGATTCAAGCCTATCTTGCTGAAAAGGAACTTCTTTTTTTGGTGACTTAATGTCAAAACTAGTGGTAATTTCTTGAGATAAATAACTGAACGCTTTGATATCACTTCGATGTTGAACATCTTTAGAAGATTCTGCTGATTTCTTATTCAATGTAAGATCTTCAAATTTAGAAATAGAAACTTCTTCTAAGCTACTACTTTTTTGTAGCTTATTTTCCTTATGCTTCTGTATTTTACCAGAAAATGTGTCACTACTTTTATCTCTAATCTGTCCAATTTTATGAGAAACACGATTACTATGTTTACTGAAGCTCATGACATTTCTAGGCCTGGATTTGGAACCATCAATGTTAGGTGATTCAATATATTTCATCAAAGCATCTATGTCTTGGGCTATATCACTACGATGGCCTTCAATATGTTGTGACAGAATGGTATTTTTGTCATTTTTAGCCTGGAACAAAATTTAAAATATATCATCTAAATGTTAGAGTAAAATAAATAAATATAATAAATATCTAAAAAGACAAGCCAATAAAATCATTAAAATTTACAATTAGAGACAAAACAAATTAAATTATATAAGATAGTAAGTATGAATTGAAAAAAATAGTCAGCTGTCACAGATGTTTCATGTAGTCCTCATTTTTCATTATATTCATTAGTTCATTATTTCCATATTATATGTCCAACCGAATCAAAGGATTATTTGTTATTTGAGTTATTGAAGTTATTTTTGACTTATCACCTCAACCATCCTTCTCTTCTAATAATAATATTATTATTAGAAGAGAAGAATGGTTGGGATGATCAGTTAAAATAACTCTAAATAACTTAATAACTCTGCTTGTGTCTTTCCACGATCCTTCGATTGACCAGCACAGATAAAGGCCTGAACTTCAGCAAATATAATTATTTATTTTTACTATTTTTGAATGATTACCCCAACCATCCTTCTCTTCAATTATTCACTACAGTCAATCATCAATCCACAATCATGTAATTATTAATTTGTTTTTCTCAGGCTTATGGTACTCACCAGTAATTTAGGACAGTAAATAAATGTATCTTCATAAGGGTTTCATTACTATGTTGGGAAGTGTTCAATGGGTGACAGATGTGGGGATGTAGGATTTTTCAAGTTTGAAAATTTTAATATTTTTTAAGGACTTGCTGAAGCTTAACAATAACATGAGCAGAAGGCGAGTGGGCTTCTTAAGCCTCTTTTCCATGATAACAGTTACCATGAGAATTGTAAACATGGCAGCAATTGCTGCAGTCACTTCCATCATGCAAATTGTGGAACAGCATCATCATGATGTTTACTGTCATGGTAATGCTGCAACACTATCAGCTTGATAGTTGGAAAAGTACCTATCATGATAGCTACAGCTATTGTCAATTTAACTATTAGGTGTAGCTGCCTACTATTGAACTGTTACATTTCACCTAACCAACTAAAATTTGATCGTGCAGAAAAATATTGTTCTCAAATAATGTTATTTCAATTATAGTCCATGGAAAATGTAGATTTTTCCAGGAAAAAGGTTGCATAAAATATGTATCTTTGTCTAACATACAAAGGTTGTAGTTTTGTCAAATATACCTATTGAGAACAGCATAATAAAACCAAGTTTTCCACAAAATTTCTTTCGGCTCTAAAACTTCAAAATTTTTAAACTTTTTGAATTATATTTAAAATATCTTGGTCACCGTTATTCATAGAATAATGCTTGTTCCCTTCATTCATAGAAGGAAGAAAATCCTCTAAAGCCTTCATCTCCATAACTTTTTTATATATGCAATAGCAGATAAAGTAGATCATTTCAAAAATAAGATAGTTAATCCAACTTTCCTATAAGTTGCGAAAAATGTTTTTTACTAATTTTTCCAAATTTCTTGACACTATTATACCCAACATAATTTTAAATATTGAATTTATCCTGCAGTAAAATTATGTTGAGGTCAGTAATTATTTTGACTGAAAACACTGGAGGTTTGAGGATAGATGATGCTTTCACATCACATTATTTTTTTACATAACTGAAGGTGAATTTAAGCTGATACTCTAACAAACCTCAACATAATTATTATGGAGTAAAAGCTCATTTTCTTAGGTTACAATTTTTTTTTTTTTTTATATTTTATACAAAAGAGCTTTAATAATTCATTATTTTATAATATTGTAAGGAGAATAATTTAATGATTTTACTAATGTTACATGAATTTCTTCTCAATCAAAACATTTGACAATATTTCACTTTTTCTATCTTCAAGTAAGTTTTCTAAAAAATATTTATAGTACATACAATTTTTTATATTTTTTATATACCTATTATTTTATAAAGTCATATACATATAGTATCAACAACATATATTAAACCAAAATCTCTTTAAATAAATACAAAAACTTAAGAACAGACCAAAAATCAATCCATTAAAAAGATATCATATTTTATCATTATTACCTAATGATTTAAACAAAATTTTGTAATAGACCATATTATTTATCTTTTATAAGATTCTTGCTGTTAATATTTTATTTTGAGAACATATCACAAAAATATTAACCCAAATTAAAACAAAAACAGTTTTGGCCAATTGTTTCCACTGTCAAAAAATGATAATATATAATTACATACCTGAAATATAGCCACTTTGAAAATGTAATGTGATAAACGCTGTTATTACTAAGGATTTCCCATATCCCCCTCTTATATCAGCTAGTGAAAAAACATAATAATATTACAAAACTTTTTTGATAGAACGTAAGTTTATTAAGACAAAGAAATTAAAAATAAGCAATTAGATAAACTAAATCACTTTTTAGTGCTTGAAAATGGGAAGATATGGTGGGGAGTATTTCTAAAAGGGAGGTCATTGACATTTATTTAAATAAATTGAAAAACCAACACAGATTCCAACAGATACCAGAAAGATCCCTTTTAGTTTACCCATGAGATAACAAAAACACATTCCAGGTTCTACTCATAATTATCGAAAAACTGGAAATACCAACAAAAATACAGTATTTCTACCTAAACCTCCATTTTCTTCAATTTCAAGATTCAAGATTCAGAACATGCCATATCCTTGAAGCATCCCTTTGATTTTGAAAATCGTTCTTAAATTACAAATCATTTAAAATAAAATGACTCCTCATTAAATTTAAGCAAAAAATGAAAAAATATATATATATAACAATAAAAGGTTTCTACAGAAGGGAGAGGCACTAACTTGTGCACTGGTCACACCAAAGTGGCTGTAACAGTCCTCAATTTTACCTCCATAACTACACCGTCAGGACATCTTACTGGGCCTTGTACTGGTAGCTGGTACAGATTAAATTTTATTGTTCAGATCTTATCTGATCTGCCCCCACCAGTCGCCTTAACCAGAGAATTTGGCACTATCTTTGCACAAACATATTCCCCACCATGAAATATCTTATTTCACAAAAAAAACAAAAAAAAACTCAGAGATTGGTGATTACCAGGCAAGGCACAAATGAGAGGAAAATTGCTTGGGTCAGGCCCTGGAAGTGTCTCAATTATCCTAGCAAGCTGCCAATCCTACAGTGAAACATCTTTTTCATGTAGAATAACAACGATTCCCTCTTTTAAATTTTCCCTGTCTGTTGCGAGGCACCAGATTGTGGAGGTACTCATTATATCACCTCTTCCAAAAATTACAAAGTCTTGGAAATCATCTAACGACTTGTCAAAGGAAACACGGGTGCATCTTCTTGTTCTGGTCTGGCTAGGAGAGGTTGACCTATAAGAAAGTGTCCTAGGGTGAGGTAATTCAGGTTATCCGAAGGTTGACTGCTAATAATACAGACAGGACGGGAATTAAGAACGGCTTCAACTTGTAACAGAAGAGTATAAAATTCCTCATATGTTAACGTACGATCCTGGGGAACGGCAAGAAGATGTTTCTTAGCGGATTTAATAGCTGCCTCCCAAATACCATCGAAATGAGGAGATGCTGGAGGAGTAAAGGTTCACTATATACCCATCCAACTTAAATGGATAGAAATGGATTCATTATGGCCCTTAACAAATTTAAAAAGCTCCTTCATATAAATGTGCGAAGGCAAACCACGTCTGGCAATAAATATGTCTAATGAGGCAATAAATGAAGGAGTGGATAGGAACAACACAAGTTCTAAATGGATAGCCTTGGTAGACATGTACACAAAGAGAGCTAACCAACATTTTCATTTAGGAGCATTACTGGAAATCTTCATAATGAAGGGGCCACCATAGTCTATTCCAACTCACATAAAAAGATCGACCTTCCGTCATCCCTTTTTATTTTGTTACATAAGTCACTTATGTAACGCATTTATAAATCCGTCTTCTAACGAGTCTTCTCAGAGAAGGAATCCAAAATTAGTGATGAATGAGCGACTGCACAAAGAGGGGCCCACCATGGAAAGAATACCTTAGGTTAATGGGTACACAAAAGGACTGCTAAATGTGAATCTTTAGGTATCAGTAGCGGGTACTTGCTTTTTTCTTCAATTGTGGAATACTTCAATCTACCTCCCACCCTGAGAGCCCCGTACTTATCCAAAAATGGTGTGAGCCTGTTTAAGGAACCCTTATATGGTTCGCCACCATTAAGGCAATCAATTAATTCAGTGAAGAATTTTCTCCGAACGAGTCTGACATAAATCATCAAAGAATCCTTAAGATCGTCAGCAGTCAAGGCTCCAGAAGCCAAAACAACTAACGAATCGTTAGGTTTTTCAGCGGCTAACAGAGCTATTGTTTTTACTTCAGACAGAACGGATAGAGGTTCAATATGGTAAATAGGCCAGTCATAAGGAGGTAACGAAATAAATGACGGGCCGTTCCAATAAAGCTTAGGGGAAAGTATCTGGTGTGGTGTGAGGTCTCTCGATAAACAATCGGCTGGATTCTGTTTTGTAGGAATATAGTGCCAACAACTGGGTTCTGTTACTTCTAAAATCTGTACTAGGGGAGTGGCACCATAAACCTTCAGTTCATATAACGGTGTCTATAACAAATAGAGTACATAACGAGAATCCGAAAAACAATATACTTCCTAAATTCGCAAATGACCTTTAAGTTTACCAGTACACGCAATTACTCTGGAGGCAAAAAGAGCAGCATTTAATTCCAAATGAGGCACCGATTGAACCTTAAGAGAAGCCACCTTACTTTTTGCCCTTAACAAATGAATTTTGGTAGCTTTTCCTGGGCACCCATCTCTCAGGTAGATCACACACCCATAACCTTTCTCGGAAGCGTCTGAAAAGGCGATTGGCTGCATGGATGATGCATTCTGACTGACAATGCAACGAGGCTGAGTAGAGCTATATCTCTCTAGTGGAATCAAGGCTAATCTGCTGGTTAAATCGGAACGGAACCGAAACAACAAATCTACCCTGGAGATCACGAGTGCATGTATTTATAAAGTGATCTT